TGCTCGGAGAACCCCACTGCGCCTAGCAAACAAGTGAGCAAGCTTTCGTGGTACACGTCGGGCCTCTCCTGTCTCGCGAGGCCTTGCACTGGTGTTGGCGTGTGTGCGAATCTGAGCTGTGCGCACCAGATAGCATGCTGTCACCACCGCCGTCCGTGGCGAAGCCCAATGCGGAGAGCACGTTCTGTCCCACCAGATGATGATGATGCTGATGATGATGATGATGATGATGATGATGATGATGAGGAGGAGGAGGAGGAGGAGGAGGAGGAGGAGGAGGAGGGGGAGACAGTTCAGCAAAGTGTTGCCAGGGCCTACATCCGGGCACGAGACTCGGGGCACGCACACTGGACAGCACGCGGCCTTCCCCTGCCGTCCTGTAGCGCGCGTTTCGACGCTTTCCCCGCTGGACTGAACGCCGCCGGGGCCTGTGCGAGAGCACTACAGTCGGGGCCCTGAAGAAGGAACCCTTTTCGTTGGGGAGGGGCTCCGCGTTCCTTAAAGTGTTTCACAGCTTGCCTCAGGTTTTCCTTCTGTTTCTGGCAGGAAATCGAAGGTTAACTTATGGAAAAAAGGGGCCTCGTTCCTTATTAGGCTTCCTTAGGTCAACGCCCCGACTGTAGGGGGATCATCGACCTCCAGACTCGTGAAGCGTGCATACAGGCGCAGAAGTATGTTCGATCGTGTTGTCAGGCCTTGGTGTGCTTGCCGTGGAGCCTGCATGATGTTTGCAACACGGTGGTCGCGCGTTCAGTGATGTGGCTCGCCAAGGTGATCGCATACGCATCCTGCGATTTGCTGCTCGGCCATGGTTGTTTTACCCGCTGTGCATGCATGCTGACATGTTTGGCCGCTCTTGCCTTGTGTTTTCTGCGGGGCAAGGTTGTTCACAGGGGGGGTAACAAAGTTCGGAGCCGCGGGGGGATAATCAAATATTGCCCCAGCAGGGTCAGCAGAAAGGAAGTTGAGGAGGGGCTTGAGGGTGCGGTCCACAGGCGGGAAGTCACGCCGCAGCCGCCGCCTCCTCTCGGCGTCGCGCCCCCGTCGACGTCCCGCTGCGAAGGTGGGATGGGAAGACGGGCCGCCACCCCTGGCACTGCACGTGCGGTGCCGGGTTCGTGAGGAGTTGCCCCCGGTGCCCCTTATGATGGCAGCTGCGGAGGGTGTGAGGTCCCATGGTGGCCCTCAATGCCAATGCCTGTGATTGTCCGCACTTGTTTGGTCGGGAAAGAAGCATACCTGAGAAGGGCAGCGAGAGAAACTAAAGCCACCGTCCAAGCCCAGGCACGAGTAACGAGTAACCTACTATCAAAAGGAGTGGGCGGTCCAGAGACGGGGAGTCACGTCGCAGCCGCCGCCACCTCGCGGCGTCACGCCACCGTCGAACACCTCGCTCCTACCTCCACTGGGAAGCCCTCTGAGAGGCAGCACACAAGTCCGACGTGCATACACCCCCGCCCACTCGTACTGGTAGTCCCATTCGCGTGTCGTTGTCGCCGAAGTCGTCGTCCTCGACGTCCGTCGTCGGTGCTAGAATGGTGCGGCCTGGTGCGAATTGTCGAAGTATTCCCAAGTCTGGAAACACGCAACAATCACGGTCCAAAGAACGCTACAAATATTCCAAGCGATGATCACGAGCAAAGTTATGCATTCGATCAGCTCGGCTTGGTTTAACAACGAAAGCAGAAAGACATTGAACAGCTTTGAGGCGAGATGTATAAGACAAATATTGCAGATTCCTCCATCCTTCGTGTCACGGATTTCAGATAAACCTGTGCTGGAACAAAGTAAGCACGCGATATATACATCTCAATTGTTTCAACAACAATTGATACTCTTTGGCAAAGTTGGCCTGTGCTCCTACGACCTCTGCTTGCGCAAAAGAATCAAGCAGGAAGTATCTGTCCAATCGCGTGGGGGTGCGAACGCAAAAAAGGGAGATCAAATCAAGAATGGGCCTCATAATTGTACGCAATTGTGTCTTCCTGTTTAGAAGCAATGGAACTCTCATGGATACATTGGGGCACCCAGTCAAATGGAGAAAACTCGTAACCAAAATCACCAGGAACGTCGCCTCAGCAGAAGAAGACTACGTCTAATGTGTATTGCATGGTCTGCGCGTCTTGGCAGGTAACATACATTCTATTCTGCATCATCTTCGTCTTTTTCGTCATCGTTCTCCTCCGCCTCCTCCCGCCGCCCTCCGGGCGCGCATTTGGCGCGTCGGAGCTGTCTCCCCACGCGTTTGGCGAGTCTGTTCGCTGTGTGCGCTTGCCGCACTGGTCTGCCCACGCGCGTTTGGCGGCTCACCACGCCTCGGCGCGACGCACAAGCAACGTCCCCACTCCCAAGATTCAGCTCTCCAATCTTTTCCCGGCCCCCCGTACCGCGGTGCGGAGCGACGCGCTTTCGGCTCGCAGGGCATGATTCGCGTGCCGCCGGGGCCGCCGCCGCCACGCGCCAAGCAAAAGCTCCGTGCCGTAGATCCTCGGGGACCTCGGCAGGCGGTGGATGTGGACATGTGCCGGCTCAGGGGGGTGGGGGGGAGGCAAACATATCAATAGGGTAACGCCTGCAGAGGTCCTCGAAGATCGATTCCGCAAACGGTGGTTGTGGATAAATCACCGCCTCGCACAGGCAGCATTGCGCCAGAAGGCAATTCGAATATCCACTTTCAATAATTCAGGCAGAGCAGAGGTCGGCAGGTGTTCCGCTGGCGCCACAATCTTCGCATCCATGGTTTTTCGCCAACATGTGGGTCATTTCACGCATGCAGTTTTTCCATTGGCCAAGGGCGTTAAAAACGCCCCTGCCCCGGTTTACGAGGCGCTGTGCGCTGAACCACCTGTGGGCTGACAGAGTAAACCCTGCATATCGCACGTGTCGCGCGGCGTCCTGGCGACTCTCTGGCCTTTGGGAGCTCCCAGAAGGTGTGCGGACCACGCACTTGGAACTCAGGGTAGGAGTGTTTTTGCATCCCTCCAATTTGTAATGGAGGATGACGATTAATAAATGACCGGGGGTCGTGTTCACGCGGCGGCGCCCAGGATGACGATTAGAAAAAACCGGCCGCGGGCTGGAACACTATTTTTTAAATCGTTCTCCTCCAGTCGGAAAATGGTGCAGAAGTAGCAGAAAACAATTGTTGTATTCGTTCTCCTCCAGTCGGAAAATTATGCAGAAGTAGCAGAAAACTATTTGTTTAATCGTTCCCTCCCATTTTTTAATTAATCGTCATCCCGCATTATCGGGCCGGACGAAAGGGGGGGATTGGGAAAGGGGGGGTTACGAAATTTGCTGCATGCAGCTGGTCTCGGCCTCACCGAGGGGCCCATTCCTCGATACATGGCCGCCTCCGGCGCCGGGAGGCGCCGGGAAGATCAGCTGCGCGAGCTGGTTCTCAAACCCCCCCTTTGCTATCCCCCCTTTTCGCCCGACCCGACATTAACTGTCGCGGTGGGGGGAAACACTCCGCCTCGCGCGCGGCCCCCCGGGGGCCCCCCGCGCCCGCGGCGCGCGCGGGGGCCCCCCTGGGGGGAAACACTCCGCCTTGCGCGCGTCGAGCCTGGGCCCCCGCGCCCGCGGCCCCCCGGGGGCGAGCGGCTGTGCCCGCCGGCGCGCGCGGAGCGCCGCGCGAGCGGGTGGGGGCGCGAGGAGCGTTCTCCGGAGCACCGTGCGCCGAGGACGTCGGGGCCTTCGGAGGCCGCATTGGGGCCTCTCCCTCTCCAGGGGAGGGGGAGGAGGAGGAGGAGGAGGAGGAGGAGGAGGAGGAGGAGGAGGAGGAGGAGGAGGAGGAGGGGGGGCATGCACAGGATAGCCAGGGCATCGTATGGGGGCGAGGCTTCGAAGTTGAGGAGGAGGAGGAGGAGGGCGCGGGGCTCCGAACAGGAGGGAGGAGGAGGAGGAGGCGGAGGAGGAGGAGGAGAAGTTTTGTTTGAATCTGCTCGAGCATCTCTTGGCTACTGTTTTTATGCATTTCTCGCCCAGGATCCGCCTGTAGGGGGGCCCGCCCGGGCCTGAGCTTCGGACCTCGGAGGTCTCCGGGAGCTGCGCGCCACCGCCACGGGCATGGCCGGGCGCTCTGGGGGAGAAAGTGTGCCTTGGCATCGCTCGGACGTGTGCATTGTTCCTTCGGCGAGAGCAATCGAGGAGCATCCTTGACCATTTGGCGAAAAAGCCACACGAAGCCGAAAAAAACACAGGGAATGGACGCCCGAGCGATGGCGAGGTGCCGATGCCACCGCCCTTCCCTGGTCGCCACGGCGGGCTTCGCCTCGAGACCCTGGTCAGAGTGCACCGCAGAGGGCAGTGGAGCGGCGAGGAGGAGGCGGGGGAGGAGGCGGAGGAGGAGGAGGAGGGAGGAGGGAGGAAAGAGGAGGGAGGAGGAGGAGGAGGAGGAGGAGGAAAGAGGAGGGAGGAGGAGGAGGAGGAGGAGGAAGATAGCGGTGCGTATCCGTGTCGTACGTGCCCCATGGGCCGTGGCAGGGCGTGTTCGAACGAGGTCAGTGTTTGGGAATTGTTTGGACAAGATTGGTGGCGGTGCTGCTTCGGGGGCCCGCAGCCAGTGCGGTGACCACACCGTGTGGTGAGTCAGTGGGGATTCGGAGTGACCGTGCGATGTTGGGACCTGGTTATTTCTGGCGCTCTCTGGGGATGTCTCGGGCGATTGCGACCTTCGAAGTCCCAAACTTGCGGGGTGACAGATCGTGCGGTGAGGTCCTTGGGGATCTCGAGATCGCGTACCCTTCTGTGACCGCAACGTTTTGGGACCCCGAATGGTCAGGGGCAATGATAGGGTGAATAGGCTCAGGGGGGGGATGCATCGACGTCCAAGTGCCCAGTCATCGCCGACAGGCGCCCGTTAGCCCACCCCGCCCAGGAACGTGCCGATTCACAATCGAGGGCATGTCGGCGATGTCTCGCCGATTCCAGCTCGACGCCCGACCCCCTCGAGCCGGTCCCCCTAACGTTGCCCCTCATTTTTGTTGCCGGTCTCCAAGGTGAGCTCGCTCCTCGAGCAGGCGTTCTGCCAGCACCAGGAGGGCGTGGAGTGGTCCATCCCCTGGCCCCCGACGTCATGTTTTTCCCCGAGAGGGCGTGGGCCCAGGGCTCTCTATTAGTAGGTTTACCGCCCGGATTTGTTTTGAAGGAGGCCAGCGGAATTGTGTGCGATCGATATCGAGGTGAAGTCCGATGTGTTCCCAACCATCCTGCGGTGTTGGGTCCTCGTTTTGACGAGACAGCGCCCCGCGTCACCTCCTCCTCCTCCTCCTCTTCCTCCTCCTCCTCCTCCTCCTCCTCCTCACTCCGACATCTGGAGCAGGCGAGATCTGGGCGGCCACCAAAGCTTCGAAACACAAGTCAGCTGGGCACATCACGATTGTAACCGACTGCGAAGATCTCAAGAAGGGATGGGCACATGGTTATCCGTATGGGTGCAATTTTGGCCATCAGTACATGGAACTATGGAAAGATTTCTGGCAAGTCGCATTAGACATTGGTGTTGCAGAGATGGATGTTGTCTGGATTCCTTCGCACATGTCAAGAACCAGGGCCATCGACCAAGGAGTCTGCTTGCCCTACTGGACAGGTAACAAGAGCGCAGATTATTTTGCAACGCTGGGCGCCGACGGCCATCCCCGCGAGAAGTCCAATGAGAAGTTGCGGAAGATGCGCGAGGCGGGTGCACCTTTGACTTTGAAATGTGTGCTGCGCATTCTGCGGCTGTGTCCAAAAGGCGGCTGGAAGGACGTCCAGCAAGTGAGTGAAGGAAGACCCGCGCGCGGGCCTCATGTCGTCCTAAGCGAGGATGGAGGCAATGTAATTCACAGGTTTAAGGGACGATGGGTGTGCGGGAGATGCGGAGATAGTCGTGCTCGTCGTGGAGACTTCGCGCGCCTTCCGTGTCTTGGGGGTCCCAAAGGGGTCCGAGAAGCGCACCCGCCCCATAAGCTATGGCACACTGGTCCAATGGTTTGGTGGTTTGAATGCGCCGCCAGATGTGTGTCTAGGGCGTTTTTGATTTCCAAACAGTGTTTGGGGAGACCGCCCCTGGGGTCTGCGAGGCACTTCAAGAGAAGGTACCTCATCCAGGGGCGGGGCCCTTCTGGAGAGAAAACCGGTAATGGTTTCAAGAGGCCTGTTCCTATTTTCGCTTGAGTCGTCCGTTGAGCGTTCGACGGGATTATGAGTATTGCTTTTTGGCCTGGTGCATCGTTCCCGGCACACCTCGTCGTCATCCAGAGTCTCCAGAGCCTCCTCCTCCTTACTCCTCCTCCCCCTCCCCCCTCCTCGCATCATGATTGTCATCATTAGCATCCTCATCGTCGCCATCACCAGCGTCATCCGTAGCCATTTTGCTCAGGCCATTATGGCTCAAGTTCGGAACGTTCATCCCTGGCGTTTCGAATTTGGACGCTGCCGAGGGGGGAATCGAGCGTCATTTGCGTGAGGTCGGCGTCCACTTTCAGCCTTCTGTCGCGCCGCGCTGGCCGCTATCGATATGGAAACCCTCACGACAGTGATGGTGGATTGCCTGAAGCCGCCCTCCTCCCAGCTAGGTTCGATCACAGGCCAGACCCACGTGCAAGTTTTGCAAGCTCAGCGCATGGATCAAATATCAGGCGAGATGATGGATAAGTTCGGCAAGGACGTCTCCGACCTGAAGTCGGACCTCGACCGCCAGGCTGCCAAGATTGCGGCTCTGGAGATGGCAGCGGCCATGGGAGAGGAGGGGATGTCCAGCCTCTATGCCAACGCCAGCCAAGGTGAAGGAGAAGACCTCGTACGCGCCGCGCGATAGAAGACCGCCCCCGCCATTCTCGAGGCCGAACTCACCTCCCGCTTGGTCGAGGTCTTGAATGCGCTTTCGTCAAATCTGGTTGGATCCTCAGGGAGTTCGGTGCACAGCGACCCCTGGTCCGACTGGAGGAGTCGGCGAACCAGCCCATGATGCATGCCAAGGCCTGGGCCTCGTGGGGCTTCGAAGCATCAAGGAGACGATGCTGATCCCTACAAGCTCTGGGTGCGCGGCTTCCCCAGGCCGCCGATGGCCTCGCAGATGGAGTTGAACAACTCGTCACGAGCAAGATGCCACAGGAAATCGGTGCCCACATGTCCTTCCGCGGGAATAACTTCAAGTACCCGTACGCTCTCAAGCTCACATCCAAGGAAGAGGCTCACGAGGTCTGGGCCTTCAGCATAGGGCTCAAGGTCACATGGGCCGACCTGCGCGACCGGCAGAACCACGAGCTGGGCATCGGCCGCGACATTCCGCGGCCCGTCCGCCAGAAGAATTACGTCCTTGGCCAGGTCCACGCTCTAGTTGAAGCCGACATCGTCGAGAAGAATGCGCGGCGCCCATCCATGAAAATGGGCAGCAACCCTCTCCAAGGTCAGGTGTACGCGATTGAGAATGAGGATGCCCGGGAGCTGGATTCGGGAGAGAAACACTTGGGGAATGACAAGTCGTTGGAGGTATTCCCGAACCTCCTCCCGCCTCCAACACTTCAGGATCCTGAAAGCCCACGCCGAGACCGCGAGAGAGAGGGCCCAGCTGAAGCTCAGGGGCGCGGAGTAAGATTTTCTCGAGCAAGCATCCGCTAGTGCATTTGCTCGTGGCAGTGCCGTTGCTGCCCGCGTTTCTGGGCGGTGTGGGGATGGCCTGCCTGTGTGCCCGCCCACAGCCTTATGTCAAGCCCCTTCCACATTCGCCGAGTCCTCAGCATCGTACCCTGGATTTCAAGAGCTCTGTTTGGGAGCGCTTTCGGTGGTTATCGCAGGCAGCTCGGTCGCTTTCGGAAGTTCGGCGGGCTCATCATAAAGCTCAACTGTATTTTGTGCCAGGAAGCCCACGTTACATCGGATGATATCGAAACCCTAAGGCTGCTGTACCCCTCTTTCTCCCACATTGGTTTGTTCCACGCAGGCGCTCATACTGGCTTAGTGTTCCAAGACGTTCCAAGATGTTTCCAGGCGGCCCCCAGGGGCCACAAGATGCCCCAGTGGAGCTCCCAAAAGCCTTCCCAAATGACCCTGGAGAGCCATAAACGCAAAAACCATGAAGGTTTCTCCTTGCTCAGTAAGTCTCACGTTCGTCTCCTTAGGATGGCTTCGGGAGATCTTCACACGGCGCCGAGGCTCGAGTCGGCCCCGCAACTTCGAAGAAGCGCCCAAGAGGGCCCCAGGCGGGCCCGAAGGCTATCAAGGCAGCCCAGGCAGGAAGATCCACAAGAGACCCGCGCACTTCAAGCCAGCCCACTTCATATTCAAGATCTCCCCACGCCGGCCCTGAACAGCTCGAAGCCCCCGCATAATCTCAAGCAAGAGGAGGCCGTCGATAATAATGAGAAACGAAAGGCGGGGACAACCTAGAGAAATTGGAGGGTTAACGAGGAAGAACGTATAAGGAACATTGGAGGACGAGGTAAGGAAAGGCATGGAATGAGCCCGTCCGAAAAACACGCACAGCTAACAACGCCATGGCCTGCGCTAGAACCCGAGCGCTCGCGAAGCGCGCGCGCGGTTCTAGTTGAGGATGGGGGGGAGGTGGAGGGGGGTGGGCCATTTCGAGAAACTCCTTAGGAACCTACAGGCTGGCCGCGAGGGAGTTTATCGAGCATCGCCGCGGGGCGGGGGGGGTCCAAGATGTGGTTCGCAAGGTACTCAGGCCCGTTTCGCCTGAGACATCCTCCGAACCCCGGGCTGCTGCGATATGCCCTGAATTGAGTTGCTTTGGCCCGTTTCGCTTGAGACGTTCTCACGAATCCTGGTCCCAAGAAGTAGTCCGCGATTTGCTCAGGCCCGGTTCGCCTGAGACATCCTTTGGAGTCCCTGGTTCCGAGAAGCCCTGACTTGAGGTGACCAGCGTTTTGTCGATGCACGGTCGGTTTGGCCGTCGCCGCGATCTCGAGCCGACAGAGGCCGTCGGGATTTGGATGTTTGGCTCTTCCTTTCGCATTGCCCTGGGGCCTTGGGCTTGCCAGGTGGTCAGGCGCTGGTGTGTGAGTTGTTTGTTCGTCTTCTTCCATTGTGCCCGGCCCAGCGCCCAGGTCTTGCTGGGCAGCCGTGCGCCCTCAAATGTTGTCGCGAGGCAGATCGGACCAACAAACGCATTCGTAATTTACAGTGTGTATGGTATCCTAAAACTAGCGGGGCTCTAAACATACGATCACGGTATATTGTCCGAAAGCATACACTATTCCCAACCATCTTGTGGTGTTGGGTCCTCGTTTTGAAGAGACGGTGCCCCGCGTTCCCTCCTCCCGCTGCCCCTTCCCTCCTGCCATCATCATCATCATCATCATCACCATCAGCATCGTCATCATCATCATCATCATCGTCATCATCATCATCATCATCATCATTATCATCATCATTCCTCTCCTCTCCTCTCCTCTTCTCCTCTCCACTTCACCCACCCAGTACATTGTTTCGTGGCTCCGTAGGGAGCTCCACCGAAGGCCCCAGTGCCCGCGCCCGCATGCGTCACCCACACCCATTTCGGCACACCCCTCACACGTTTCGTGGCTCCATAGGGAGCTCCACCGAAGGCCCCAGTGCCCGCGCCCGCATGCGTCACCCACACCCATTTCGGCACACCCCTCACACGTTTCGTGGCTGCATAGGGAGCTCCACCGAAGGCCCCAGTACCCGCGCCCGCATGCGTCACCCACACCCATTTCGGCACACCCCTCACACGCTTCGTGGCTCCATAGGGAGCTCCACCGAAGGCCCCAGTGCCCGCGCCCGCATGCGTCACCCACACCCATTTCGGCACACCCCTCACACGTTTCGTGGCTCCATAGGGAGCTCCACCGAAGGCCCCAGTGCCCGCGCCCGCATGCGTCACCCACACCCATTTCGGCACACCCCTCACACGTTTCGTGGCTCCATAGGGAGCTCCACCGAAGGCCCCAGTGCCCGCGCCCGCATGCGTCACCCACACCCATTTCGGCACACCCCTCACACGTTTCGTGGCTCCATAGGGAGCTCCACCGAAGGCCCCAGTGCCCGCGCCCGCATGCGTCACCCACACCCA